GTATATGAGTGTAAGAAGGAAATAAGTGCCCAGCCTTAATAATTAAAAATACCACTTCAATGTTTATCTTTAAAGAGAGCTTTGCAGGCTGGGAAAAGAAATATTTTAACCTGCTTCTTTTTAAAAAAATCTTTAATTTAACAAAGTACTCCCAAATTATTTTATTTAAAAAACCAAAGGATGCATTCTGCCTTTTAGAATAATTCTATTCTCCTACAAAATGTCCTGGGCATTTTGATTCTTTTATTCCTGTTTGTATTTTTATTTCTTTGTCACTTTTCTCCTAGCATGCAAGCTACCTAAGCATGTTCTCATAAGTGTTTATATCTTCCCAAAGTGACTAATATAGTATCATATAGGCAGTAAAATATTGTTTCAATGATTGTTATTTGATTAATAAACCTTAACAGGATTTTCTAGCAAGGACAATTTGTAAATGATAGGATTTAAAAGAAATAAATACAAAAATCAAAGATGTATACTGTCCTTCTGTAATAATAACTGGAAAATAGTTTGAATTTATTAAACCTCTATTAACTGAATATTATAAAACAAAACACTTAGAGATGGTATAGCAATGGCAAGCCTAGTCTTATGTCCTCAGGGCTACCTTTCTTCCCAGAAGTTTTTGGAATCAAAGTGAATTAAACCTGAACCTCTACTGTTCTGGATATTATCAAAGCCTGGCTAAGCAGCACTGCCCTTTGGCATTCACCTTGGTGCCTGGTTCTAATCCAGAGTATCTAAAGAGTTTGGCAACGTACTCTTAGAATCATATAAATTTAAAACTGGCAAAGTTCTCAAAATTCATCTAGCCCGTATTCTTCATTTTCACATGCGGTACTGAAGCTCAGAATTTCTATCATTTGCCTAAGGTCATTAAGTAGGGTGGACATAAAATGATCAGGTTTCCTTAACTTGAAACCTAGTTCTTGCAACTCTGTTACAAGATCACCTTTGCTCAACTTTTAGGGAATGTCTGCAACTTAGAGATACACAAAAACAATGTTCAGTCATGAGAGCCTTCCAAAATGAGCAGGAAAAATACATTAATTCAGACACTTGAGTTCTTATGGCTTCAGAGGCTTCTTTTTGAAGAAGTTTCCTACTTCTAAGAGTCACTGCTATCTTCCAGGAGAAGGGGGTTAGGAGGATTGGGATTAAGCCAGCCATTGGATGCTGAGCCTGCTTAAGGTTAATGGTATCAGGTTAAATAATTGCCACATTTTTTTTCTCTTTAACTCACTAATTTCCTCTGTTATGGCAGTAAGATATACAGTACAAATACTTAAATACATGCAGAAAAGGGAGATATTTTACAGTGAAATAACTTCAAGCTTATTCCTCTAGGGCTAGTACATAATCTGCCTGAGAGGTGGAGGGAGTATCTTCTCCTAAATTATAAGATCAAAACCAGCAGGAAGAGGAACCAAACTGGGGCTAGGCTAAGAATTTAGGACTTAGCCTCTCTTATGGATGTAATTACGTTATTGCAGAAAACCTGCAGACATAAAAAAGATGACTTCAAATAATATATGCAGACAGTGTCCCACATGTTTAAGTGCAGAATCAGGTTAAAACTGCAGCCATAAAAAATTGGCCGGTAGAATCCTAATCCATTAAAACAAAAAGAAATCGTATAGGACATGTCAAACAGATGAGAGATTAAGAAACTGAGGCCCATGACAGTTAAGAGACCTTCCAAAGGTCACACCGCTGTCAAACACAAATCAAAGTCAGGCCTCTGCATATATATTTTATATTTGCAATTGCCTGCTTTGCACTGTTGTAAAACAGAAGTTCAACATCCAAATTTAAGAATTGAAATGTAAACTGATTTAATGTATGTATAGGAAAATTTTAAGATATGTCAAGGACAAAGAGAGACTAAGGGAAAAGGGATTACATATTTTCCTTTTGTCATTATTCAATGAGCTATCCATTCCTTCATGGCCACTGCTTTTGGCTAGGTATGAGCTATGGAAACATTTCTCCTGGATGCATTTATTCCCTAGAAAGAAAACTCAATCTGGCTTAAGAGAAAAAATTCCTCTCCAAATAATGATAAATTGTCTAAATTGAAAGCTCACACTATAAACAAATTTGAACAGTTCATCTTATAAAATTAAATTTCCATTTAGTGAATTTGAATGATGTTTTGAGAAAAAAATAGTTCTGTTTTTAAGGCCAATATCCAGATAACTAAAAACACAATTATAACTATTTTTTTCTTTATTTCTATATGTTATGTTTTTAGTAAAATACTTAATGTGCTTTGAATGTAAACACCAATAACGTTGTTTTTATAAGGAAAAAAAGGCCTGCAAATTTTTGATATGGAACAATACATTCACTTCACTGAAAGTAATATAATCTGAACACATCTTTGAATGTGGTAAGAAGTTAAACCATATAAAATTTTTAGTGTACATTCATAATTTTCTTTTGTACTTCATTGAAACTAAACTTGATATTTTCATACAATATATACAACGGGTGCTCTGTTTCAAATTTACAAGACTATTATCTCTGTAATAACTAAGATGTAGTTGATTCAAATGACTAGTCAAAAAACTCTAGAATCAATTATTTTATGAAAAAGATATTCATATTTTTTTACATAACTATTACCAGGCCACAAACTACCTTTCTAAACTTATCTTCCACTTTTCTTCATCCTGCCCCAGCTCTAGACACTGTGGGCTGGTGTTTTCCCATCTGTGTCTCATGCTTCTCTCCCTGTTGTTGCTCAGCTGGCATTCTCATTCCTCTAACAGCCACAAGCCTAAATTCTCCCCAACCTTGAAAAGCCCAGTCAGATGGCTTCCTAGCACCCAAGCATTTCCTAATAAACCTGGTCAGGAATAACGTCATCTGCCTCACAACAGTTACAGGCCTTTCATTTCCTCCTGCTACCCCACCAGTTTTTGCCTCATAGTGTGGATCTTTAGGGAGCAATTCATAATAGTGGTTAAGAGTGAGAACTTAAAAGTTAAACAACCTGGGTTCAAATCCTGGAATATATTGGCTAACTGTGGATTTGGGGCATATCCTTTAACCTTTCTTAACTCCAATTTCATCATTTATCAAATGAGATCATTATAGTACCCATAGTATAAAGTTTTTGTAATAATCTAAGATGATATATATATAAAATGCTTTGAAGGTGCCTAATACCTAGGAAGCGCTCAATAAATGTCAACTGCTACCAATACACCAATTTTATTATTATTATCTGTAGTGGAAGGGGCTTCCACTAGTAACTGTGTGCCTAAATCTTGTCAAGTTTTTGCTTTCTTATCTGTACTAAAATAAAGATTCTGCACAGCAAAGAAAATAATCAACAAAGCGAAGAGACAACCTACAGAATGGGAGAAAATATTTGCAAACTATCCATCCAACAAGGGATTAATAATCAATATATTAGAAACTCAACTCAATAGCAAAATACCAAATAATCTGATTTAAAAATGGGCAAATGATCTGAATATACATTTCACAAAAGAAAAACAAATGGCCAGTAGGCATATGAAAAAATACTCAACATCACTAATCATCAGTGAAATGCAAATCAAAACCACAATGAGATATCATCTCATCCCAGTTAGAATGGCTAACATCAAAAAGACAAAAGTAACAGATGCTGGTGAGGATGTAGAAAAGGGAAATGCTAGTATACTGTTGTTGAGAATGTAAATTAATACAGGCACTGTGGAAATAATATGGAATTTCTTCAAAAAATTAATAATACATATGATTTAGCATTACCACTGACTGAATCCAAAAGAAATAAAATCAGTATATCCAAGAGATATCTGCACTCTCATGTTTATTGCAATACTATTCACAATAGCAAAGATATGGAATCAACCTAAGTATCCATCCATGGATGATTGGATAAATAAAATGTGATTGATATTATTCATCCATAAAAAAAGAATGAAACACTTTCATTTACAGTAACATGGATGGAACTGCAGGACATTACCGTGTTTCCCCGAAAATAAGACCTACCCATAAAATAAGCCCTAGCAGGATTTCTGAGCATTTATTCAATATAAGCCCTACCCCCAAAATAAGACCTAGTGATGGGTGTGGCTACGCAGTATCTACACAACCCATGCATTTCATCCCAGCGTGGTAAAGAAGACAGGCAGCCCTTCTCATCTGCCCCATGAGAGCTCTGTTGCTCAACATGAGAGATTGGGGCCAATGGTTCTAAAGGAAATAGAGTCACAAGAAATTCAGGATGGAATTTGGGGTTTGGAGAATTATGATGATGTTCCAGAAGAAGACGACTTAACTATATTTGAATAAATGTAGATTGTTGTACCATACTTAAAAAAAATAACACATCCCCTGAAAATAAGCCCTAGGGTGTCTTCTTGAGGAAAAATAAATATAAGACCCTATCTTATTTTCAGGGAAACACGGTATAGTAACTGAAATAAGCGAGGCACAGAATAAATATCGCATGTTCTGACTCATAGTGGGAGATAAAAAAGTTGACCTCATGGAGGTAGAGAGTATAATGATGGTTACCAGAGTCTGGGAAGGGGAAAAAGAAGGTAGGAATAAAAAAGTGTGGTTAATGGGTACAAACATATAGTTAGAGGGAATAAGTTCTAGTGTTTGATAGCACAGTAGGGTGCCAATAGCTAACAATAATTTATTGTATATTTCAAAATAGCTAGAAGAAAAGATTAGCAATATTTCTAACACAAAGAAATGATAAATGTTTAGGATAATGGATATCCTAATTACCTTGATTTAACTGTTACACATCATATGCATGTATCAAATTATCACACAGATACCATAAATATGTACAGTATGTATCAATATAAAAGTTAAAAAATAAGTCATGCCCATAAAAAACAGTATTTACCTTAGTATTAGTTATCTATTTCTGCATAACCAATTATCCCAAACTTTTAGTGACTTTGAAAAACATTTATCATCTCATAAATACTATGGTCAGAAATCTGAGTGTGACTTACTGGGTCCTCTGGCTCAGGGTCTCTCACGAGGCTGGAATCAAGGTGTCTGCAGAGCTTCAGGCATTTATTTCAAGGCTAAACTTGGGAAGGATCCGCTTCAGAATTCATGCTCTGATTGTGGCAGGATTCAGCTCCTCACAAGCTGTTGGTCTAGGAGCCTCTGTTCCTTTCTGGATGTTGGCCAGAGACCATCCTCAGTTTCTTGACACGTACCTCTCACTATGGCAAGTTACCACATTGCAGCTTGCTTCACCAAAGTAAGCAAGTAAGAGGGCAAGAAAGTGTAAGCAAGAGAAAAGTCACAGGTTTTTGGAACCTAACCTCAGAAATGGTCTCCTATTACTATTATCAGACTCTTGGAAGAGTCACCAGGTCAAGCCCACATTCAAAGGAGGAAATTATACAAGGATATGAACACTATGTGGTAGGAATCATTGAGGGTCATCTTTGAAGGCTGCCCACCATACCTCATAAAGCTATTGTGGAAATTAAATGAGATCACTATATCTGAAGTTCATTGTAAAGTAACTTGCTCATAGCAGACATTGAAATAACATGAGTTTAATTGAATAAACATTAAATTTTATTCATTTTTATTCATGTTTATTCACTGAATAAACATGAGTTTATTCTCCCTTCCTCACTAGAATAAAAGTCTTTGGAGACAAAGACATTCATCAGTGGGCTTTGCAGTACTTTAGCACTCTGCTAAGCAAACTTGGCTCTCATCAACCACTGGAGGAATAAATGATACTGACACTACTGTTAACAATTTAGCTAATATTACCTTTATTTTCAAAAGGCATAACCTATGTACCTTTCAGTAGTGACTTATTTACAGTGCAGGAGTGAGGCACGCAGAATAATGGTCCACCAAAGACGTCCATACACCAACCCTCAGAACTTGTGAATAAATTACTTTACACGGCAAAAGGGACTTTACAGATGTAATTAAAGACCTTGTCATGGGGAGATTGACCTGAATTATCCAGTGGGTCCAATCTCATCAAAGAATTTTTAAAAGCAGAGAACAATTCTTGGCTATAATCAGAGAAAGACATGTGACCATAGCAGAATGATTAGAGAAATGCAACATTGCTGGCTTTGAAGATAGAGAAGGCAGTGGGCCATGAGCAAATGACTGTGGACAGCCTCTAGAAGATGGAAAAGGCAAGAAAACAGACTCGAGCCTAGAATCTCCAGAAAAGAACACAGCCCTGCTGACAACTTGATCTTAGGCTGGTGAGATCAGTGTTGGACTTCTGACCTATGGAACAATAAGAAAACAATGTTGTTTTAAGAAATTAAGTTTGTGGTAATTTGTTACAACAATAGAAAAGTAATACACAGAGAAAAATATGTAAGTTTCTCATGAGAGGGATCACACACAAGCACTCTCTAACTATATAAGGAATATATATGATCATTGTATAAAGTAAGATATTAAAAATCATGCAGAGTACAAAGCCTATAGTTCAAAAACACAATTATAAAACTATTTTTTTTAATCATTGTATTACAAGACCATTACCTATCATCAAAAGCAATGAGGATATAAATTACTGTTTTTATTTAACAAATGTTTTTAGAACATTTACTGTGTGATAAACACTGTTATATTGTCTAAAGCTATCGACACTTATATTACTCATTTAGTTCTGTTACCTTACTATTATCACCCTCCTGCTACAGAAAAGGAACAGACATAGGAGTAATGAGCTTTTCCAAGAATGCATATCTTGTGAGTGGTAGAGCCAGAATTCACACTCAGTCACTCTGGCTCCACAGTCCATGCTTTTAACCACCAGTTATGCTCTTTCTAAAGTCATTAATAAATTGTATATAATAATCATATATATTCCCAATAAGTTGCTTAATATTTTTTAGACTTAAGAGAACTAGAAAAATTGTATCTATTCTGGATTATTTTTCCCAATTCATTCCTTCAACAATTATTTACTAGGTATCTCATATGCCATAGGCACAGAGGAAAAGAGAAATGAATACAACAATGAGCCTCCCCTTAAAGAGTTCACAAATTAGTGACAAAAGATATTGACAAAATAAGGTAATAATGTAATAATTTTTTATTATGATAAAGTAATATAATATAAATTCATTCAAGCAAAACCATCTCGTATTACCTTATTTTCAATGATTTCATGATTTAGAAGGGAAGAAAAGTATTTAAATAAACAATTGTGGGATGCCTTAAATGCTACAGAAGCATTTAACTGGTGCCAAGAAGCACAGAAAAGGAATAATATTACTCAGTAACAGGCAGAAGTTGCATTGAAGAGTTTGGAGGATAGTGACATGTGGAGTTTTGTATCTTAGAAAGATCATCCTAGGCTGGGTACAGTGGCTCATGCCTGTAATCCTAATACTGCAGGAGGCCAAGGCAGGCAGATTGCTTGAGCTCAGGAGTTCAAAACTAGCCTGAAAAAGAGCGAGACCCCATCTCTACTAAAAATATACAAATTAGCTGAGGGTGCCATATATGCATCTGCAGTCCCAGCTACTGAGGAGGCTGGAGCAAGAGGGTCGCTTGAGTCCAGGAGTTTGAGGTTGCAGGGAGCTACAATGACACTGCACTGTACCCAGGGTGACAGAGCGAGACTCTGTCTCAAAAAAAAAAAGAAAGAAAGAAAGATCATTCTAGGAGGAAGGGAAGAGAATAAGCCTGAAGGGCAGTTAGGCAGGAGGCCAACAATTTGTTACGAGATGACTCAAAGTGCAGGGATAACAAGGATTGAATTAAGGGAATGGCAGCAAACATTATTATTAATATAAGAGAAGGAGAGTTTTGGAGTGGTATTTGAAAGCCAGTGATAGTTAGGGACCCAGGATATGCCACTGCCCCTCACACATATACATGGGCCTACCTTAAGGAATAATAATAGCAAATGAGAACAATGAGATGTTTGAATTGATGGCTGTGTAAATACTAGGCAGAGAGTAACAGGAAAGAATATTTGGAGTGTGTGAAAAGTCCTGGTGCTTTTCTGGAAAGTTTGGGCATTAAGTTGGGACAACTAGAGTCTTGACAAAGTGTTTACAAGTACATGATCAAATGACACTGAAGGTTAATGCTGCTAGAAAGATAGAGGCTAGACTGGAGTGAGGAGAAATCAGAGGCTGAGAAAGGATATGGCATTGTTGTGTATTAAAAGGAAAGTCTAAATTTTAACTTTTAGTTTTTATTTCACAAATAGAATGTGAATGTTCCTAAAGGAAACATTTCCTTTTATAATAAATACTGTTTTTAAAGGTTGAATTGACACTAATAATTATACCTAGCAATAGCTTACTACAGTTAGGTACAACCTACCAACACAATGATGAACCATGTAGTCAATGGTGGTCCCATAAGATTAAAATACTGCATTTTTACTGCACCTTTTCTATGTTTACACATTAAGATACACAAATACCACTGTGTTACAATTAGCAACGCTATTCAGTACAGCAATATGTTGTACAGGTTTGTAGCCTAGGAGCAATAGGCTGCACCATATAGCCTAGGTAGATGTATAATGCAGCCTACACAAAATTTAGGTTTGTGTAAGTTTCTGTCATGTTCACAGAATAATGAAATCATCTAACGCATTTCTTAGAATTCAACTCTATTGTTAAGTGATGCATGACTGTTTGGAAGCACTATTCTAAGTACTTTACATATAGTACGAATTTAATCCTCAAGTGTTAATATTATTAGTTGAGTTTATTATTGATCAAGTAAAGTAACTTGTCTAGAGTCATCCAGTAACTGTTAGGTGGAATTTGAATCCAGACAGTGTGACGTGATGCCAGATCCTGAATTCATAGCCATTATATCACTAACACGTGCTTAGTAAATTCCTATATTCAGAAATTATCTTCATTATGTTGAGGTTCAGAGCATGCACAGGCTCTGGAACCAGACCGTCTAGGCTCCAAACCCCATTCCACCATGAGAAATGAGAAGTTAGGCAATTTACTCTGCTCTCTGTACCCTATCTGTAAGTGGGAGTAATAATAGTATTTGCCTCTAGGGGTAGTTCTGAAGTTTAATGAGCGAATGCAGTAAAAGGGCTCATAATAGGGCTTGGAACATTCAATAATATTTATCTGTTATTACCAACATTTATATTATTCAAACATAAAGTATTGAGAACACTCGTAAAAAATATTGGATATACTGCATGGCCCCAAGTGAGATCTGTGGTAGGCAGAACAAGGGCTCCTAAAGATGTCCATGCCCTAATCCTTGGAACTGGTGAATTTGTTATCTTACTATGCCACAAGGGACTTTGCAGATGTAATTAAAATATGGACCTTGAGATAGAATGATTCAACCTAATCAAATAAATTCTTAAAAGGCTATAATTGGAGACACAACAACAGAATAAGAGGAAGGAGAGATTAGAAGGATGAGAGGATCTCAATCCACCATTGCTGGTTTTGAAGGTAGAGGAAAAGGGCCACAATCAAGGAACATGGGTGGCCTCTAGAAGCTGGGAACATCCCTCAGCTAACAGCCAGCAAGAAAACAGGGAAGTCAATTCTATAACAACATTGTGTAATTTGGCCCAAAACCTGAACAAAAAACCAGATTTTTCCATTAAGCTTCCAGAAAGGAACACAGGCTTGTGGACACCTTTATTTTAGACTGTTCAGACCCATGTTGGACTTATGACCTACAGACTATAAGATAATAAATTGATGTTTTGAGCCACTACCTTGGTGATAATTTGTTACAGCAGCAGTAGTAAAATAACATAAGATCTATGTTTAACTTTTTCCTAAAAGACTCAAATATATTGATTTAAGTACTATGTAATATGCTAAAATAAATTTAACATCGTAAAGTCAGCAATTTTAAACTATATTAGGGGCATAAATCAATGTCTTCTTTACATTTCTATTATTAAATTCTTAGAAACTAAAGATTGCTAAAAGGCTAAAAGAGGATATAAAATGCTACTATAAATTTTTTTCATCTTTCCTTTATGTTTAAAGGTAAAGAAATATTCGATTTTAATTTTTATCCTTTAGGTTCTCATAGTTATGAATGAATTAACTCTGATTTTTTTGTTAATATTTCTTAAGCCCACAGCTAAGTCCTAACAAAGACTCTTAACATGTCAGCAGTAATATATAAATTCTAGATTTAGAACACCCAGAATGTTGAATTTACAGAGGTAAGCATTTACTGAAAGGCAAAATACACTTGCCTTGGTTATTATTAATATCTATTTATTCACTGCCTCTGAACTGGTACGCATTACCTCCCAGAAAGCAAGGGCCATGTCTGTCTTCTATCTTCACATTTTATCTATACTGCCTAGCAATACTCCTGACCCCCAGCAAGCTTTGGTTAAATAAATGAATGAAAAATAAATATATTTTAAAGCAAGTATTAAAAAAACCTGGAAATAAAGCTTCCCTGAAACCTCAACACTAGCTCACTGGAAAACTAAAGAAGTATATTATCTCTAAAAATTAAACATTAAAATGCAGAACTTATTTTAAACACATTTAACAGAATCTTAAATGTTATACCTGTTTCCCTGTATTCTTAATCAAGTTTGTTAAACATAATTCAAATTTCTTAATAACTGGGCAACTTTATTATTTTCAATACTGTGATGTTTATGTGACAGACATAAGGCTCCACAAGTTAGAACTTGCTTTCTGAAAATGTCCCCTATGTTGGTGTTTTTTCTTGGGGTGCGGGAGGGATCCTTTTTACCCCTCCCATAAAAATTAAGTGAAGCCTACAGTACATCTGTAGGCTACCTGAGAAGTGCAACATGGCTGCCTTCTTTCACAACTGCTAAATGAAAGTTTTGGTCTTCTTCAGAGATTTTCTTGCTCTCTAGAACAGCAGTATCCAATAGAAATATAATGGGAAACACATATGTAATTTTAAATTTTCCCAAACATTCTCATTTAAACATGTAATCAATATAAAAGTAATGAAATATTTTATTCTTTTTTTCATACCATGCCTTAGAAATCTGGTGCATGTTTCACATTTAGAGCAGACCTCAATTCAGACTAGCCACATTTCAAATGGCTGGTGGCTACATTATTGGACAGATGCAGCTCTAGAAAAATCTCCTTTTCCTAGAACTACATACCCTATCAATTTGTAGCTCCTACTCTATCTCCTTTGTGCTGTTGCTTCACACGGTGGGAAGGATTCTCTTTCACTAAACCAGATAACATCCTTCTGCTCCTCCTCAGGCCCATTTCTTTCCAAGATCTCTTTAACGTACAGAAAGCAACATTCCAGGTATATGTTAAATCGCACATCTTTAACGTAAAAATGAATTTGGATAGTATTAGAATTCATCAACAAATTTTCTTTTATATTAACTATAATGCTTCCTATTATGAGCTTAACAACTCTGTTCCACAAGGCAATTTCTGTAACAAAAATACAAGGGGAAAAAAATTCTCTCATACTTCTACAGGATAAGCTCTCCAAAATCTAACAGTAGAGCTGTTGTAGGACTAAGTACTCTTGGCATGGAGATGGGGAGGGGGGTTGAGTCTAGAGTGGAGAGGCAAGAACTAAAACCTTAAAACCTACTATGTTCAGGAATCTTGAACTACCTGACTTCATTCAGACCTTAGAACCAACCCGCTAGACATACTGGTATTCACACAATACAGTGAGAAGACAGTGGCCATTCTCAAAGCCCGCTACACAAAACTTGCCTGGGGAGCGCTCTTCCCTTGGACCTCACTCCCATAAAGTCTGACTCCATTCCCCAGGGGCCCGGGGACCCGGTGGCCCGTGTTCCTAAAAGTTAGCAGGGAGATAGGACGCGCCTCTGGGGCGGGAAGACAGCGGCCAGGTGCGCGCCGCCAGGAAGGTGAGAGCGCATCTAGTCAGCTCTACGGGGGCGGCCTCTGGGGGGCGGCTTTGCAGGGCGGACGACTGACTGGACCCGCCACCTGCCTTCCGGAGCATGCAGAGGTCAGCGAGCTTCCCACCCGCGCACCCTGGCCCCGGTGGAGGCGGGTCTCCACACTCCGCACAACTGCCCCAGGCTCCACGCAGCCGTCCCGCCCGAGAGCTCCCTCCCCACCAGGCCATCCCGCAGCCGGCCGTCCCCACAAGGCGAACAAGGAGCCCCGGAGGTGCGGAGACGCCCCGCTGCCACCCGGCGGCGCTTGTCCGGTGGCCCGTGATGGCGCGCTCGGGTAGAAAAAGCCCTGCCCTCAACAGCCCCGGCTTCCCCTCAGCCCCTTGACACCGCAGCCTCTCCTCTAGCGGCCCCTGACCCGGGGCTGACCGGTTCGTGACTCTCCTGCCAATCAGAGTCGGATTTCCTCCGAGCGGCCAGCCGACCAATCACCGCGCGAGAGTGTCCTCTTCGGCTCTTCGGCCCTTCGGTTCTTCGGCTCGTGGGCGTTCGCTGTTGCTGGGCCCTCCCGGGCCTTCCGCGGAGCGCTAAAGCGTGGTTCTCGTTGGTGTAATTTCCCCAGTTTTTTCAGCCACTTCCGGGTCTTGCGTCGCTCCGGAAGCCCGCGAGTTCCGGAAAGCTGGGTAGCTCAGATTCCGCTAGGAAAAGCGAAGCTTGCCAGAGAATGTTTCAGAAAAAGTTACGTGGAGCATGGGCGTTTCGCAGACTCCTAAGGTCAGTGTCTGCCCTAAAGAGCAGAGGGCAAACCTGAGGTCTTGCTTGCGGCCGGGAGGTCGTGGAGTTTCCTGACCTTGTAATTGTCGGCCTTTGCTTTGAGTTTCCCTGTCTGTTGGCTTCTTGCCTTCCTGGGAGAAGCAAATCAAAGTCTCTCTCTCTCTCGGGAACGGCAATGAGGCAAGCCTAAACTCCTAAAAATATTCTTAGCATAGCGTCATTAAAAATTAACGAACACACAGCTAGATTTTCTCTGCATTCCACGCAGTGACTTTCTAAAGACAGACTGGAATTTTTTCTCGAACTTGGCGGACATGAAGGGATTTACCCCTTATAAACGGCCGCATTAGGAATCATTCGGGATCCAGGCTTCACTTAATATCTGAAGGTTCATGTAGAGTGTTCTATTCGGTCCAAAAAAAAAAAACTAGGTATACCTGAGTTTCCAACGTTATTGAACACGCATTCATTTAAAAGCACTTTGGTATCTTATGGGGGAAGAGATACTGAGAATTTTCTTTAAAAAATTGCTTGTGATGAGTTAATTGTGTTTCACATTGACTTCTGATAAGAAATCTGAGAACGTGAGAATCATTAACATTTTTCTTCTGGGTCCTTAAAAATCGTGTGTTTGTTTATTGAGTACCGTTTTCCAAACATCCAACATTTAGCAGAAGGCCTTTTCACAAAATGAGACAAATTGTTGAACGTTCTATTCTAACACGTTCTGTATTCTTCTGTGGTGGCCCTTGAAAAGTTTAGTTATTAAGGACACTGAGGCTCACTCCACACCACAGTGTGTAGTGTAAACAACTTCGCCTATGTGCTGCCTTTAAAGCTGAACAGAATGATTTGGGGGTGGCTGACTTTTTCTCTTTCAACTTCTCTGATTTTGCCCGTATTATCAATTACATGTATCCAGAAAGATTAGAGTTGAATGATCTTAAGGGAAAAGGAGATTTGAAAGAAGAGAGATAGTAGAATTATTTACAAAATCAAAAAGAGAACCCCTCAATTTTTTTTTTTTTAATTAAAGTAACAACATCAGAGACTAGACTAAATCAAGAGAGTGGGGTTCTAGTCCTGACTCTGGGTTTATTTTGACCAACTTACTTACTTGGCCTTATTCTCCTCATTTTTGGAAATTAGTGGTAGCACTCAATCTGTATAGTTTTAAAACTGTTCCAAAAAAGAACTTTTGTAGAAATTTTCTGGAGCTGTGCTGGGGAGAGACAAAACAAACCGACTCTTAGCTGTATTTTAACAAGACCAGCTATTTATGTATTCTGCTTGAATAGCAGGGTTACTGTTAAGTTCATATCTTAGACTAGATCTTCCTTTTCTTCTAGCAGTAAAATTCTGTTACTTAGAATAATTATTTGTATTTAATGTGCACGTATATGATGATTACGGAGTTTTAAAGTTATATTCACAGTTAATTCTAAAAGTTACAAACATGTCCCTATTTAATTCAATTTGTTTTATCGATACAAATTTGAAATTTATTTTTTTCTTTATGATCAGAATCATAATTTGTTATTTTCCTCTCTTCTCCATATCCTTTTGTTTTAGCCATAAAAGGTTTGCTTATATTTAATGCTAATAATAATCCTTGCCATGAGGAGGGCAGATATTTTCAGCTGGCTTGTGCATTATCATATTGCTAGTAAAGTTCTGAGTCCTGGCCCTATGTTTTCCTCACAGCAACAAGTAATTTTAAAGTTTCTTTCCGTCTTGTACACAATCCACATGCTCAGATTCTTAGAGCACAATGAAAATGTATGCGTATGCACAATCTTTATTTCTGACCAAAAGTTTTACTCTGAATCATTGCATTTTTTTCCTCATGATGATCTGGGTTGGACAACTTAGAAGCAAATTGAATTTTACCTTTATCTCTTTCTTATGAAGTGACAGCAGTTTCCAAATATTCCCTGTCCTTCCAATCCTTTGGAAACCTCAGGAGAAAAGCCCTGAATTGCTCCATTTGGCCCTTGTCTATAATCTTTGCACTGCTCTTTTAAGCCCAGTCCTGTGGTTTCTTTACATGGAAGTGGGACCAGAAGGAGGATTTCTAGTATCCTCTGCCCTTCCCAGTGTGGGCTGTTAATCTTCTAACCAACTTATTTCCATCAATACAACAAAAATACCCTTTTCTATATTGCTTTTTATTCTATTTAATATATTTTCTTTTTATCTGAGCTCTCTCTTTTTACTTGCCTCTCAGTAAGGTGAGATAAAACTCCATACAAGTTTTCTTTCTTTTTACTATTTGAACAAAAACTGAGAACTCTAGAGTGACTCTGTTTTGATCATGCCTAACTACTTCCTTTTAGTGTTAGATGGATGAGTTGGTGTTGCATCTACCTTATATAAAATATGTGATCATAATAAATGAATGTTCATAACTCATCTTTTCACCCACATGATCTGTTCAGATTTGACATTCAGTCCCTTTGAATTGTCCTTTGACCACATGTATAGAGGCAGGGAGAGGGAATGTAGATGAGATGCAAACCAGGCCACAAGAGCAACCTCACTACTTGCCTTTAATTTCTTTTCCCATCTACAGTCCTGAGAGCTTGACTGGCAGTCTGTTCTTTTGAATGATCTTGAAGAGGATAAACATTTACCTTGAGTTCTGCAGGATTAAACTTGATCCACATTTACCAAATATCCATTCTACTAACTTTATCTTATGTGTTCTGCAATTTTTCTTACCAGAAATTAATTGCCAGCTTAGGTCGTTAATTTTCTCAAGTCTTAATTTTTGTCTTCTTAAAATGGAGATGATAATACTGTACTTTGTTGTGAGGATTAAAAAAAGGTAAAGAAAATAAAGTGTCTTGCAATAAAGTGTCTTGCACATAATATGTATCACATGATATTTCCTCCTATTCCATTGCTAATGCCTCTTTGTTACTTTGGGGACATTTCCACATTCTTTTGTACCATAAAATATGCAATTGTGTGTTCCAACAATTTTCAAGTCATTTAGAGTTCTCTTCTTAATTAAGCAACTAGATTCTAACGCCCTTTTCTAAATTTATAGAGTATTTAAAGATCTAGTTGCCTCATGTGTTTCATGTGGCTCTTGTTCATTCTTGGATTTGAATTTTTGCAAAAGTTTATGCTAAAGTTTATACTTTAGTATAGTACTCTTAGTACTTAGCCTGTTAAAAATAGCTCCATCTGCATGTCCTGTGGTACCATCCTCATTATGTTTAATTTCCAGGCCTATCACCATCTTAGTATAGAACACTAGAGCATCGCTCTGCCACTTCAAGCCATGTGATTTTATACTTTTGAGTCAGCTAATCTCTCTGTGCCTCAGTTTCTTTGTTTTAGAACAGAAATAATAACCTATTTCTTAATATGGTAAGGATTGAAATAATTTGATATTTAGTTTTGTACATGGCAATTAGCTATAATAGTCACTGGTTATCACTCAATAACTGGTAAGTAAGTAGTATGTATTTACTATGGTTGTAAATAAGAAATTCTTTGGGTTTGTCTTCCTTAATGCTTTCCTATTACTCTGTGAAAACTGTCTCTGTTTCATGTGTCCTGCAGCAGCCTTTTCCAAACTCATGTGCAGTATTACCATTTCTGCAGTTAGTTGGTATTTTTTTTTCCTTCTCCATTCAAATTTTCCTAAAACGGTTCCTATAAGGATTCTAGTTGAGTAGGTTAACATTTTACATTTGCTTTAAAAAAGAAAATGTTAACCAATGAAGAGTATAGTGTGGTAAAATCACTTTTTCGGAGTCTCAGTCTGCTAGTGAACCTGGGCTAGAGTACAGAAATAATCGAGGGCAGTGTAACTTCTTTTCCCAGTATTCACTCAAACATCTCTTTGTTTTCACAATATGCCTTCTCTCTTGAAGACTCCGAGGTGTCAACTTTCTGGGGGGAAAAAAAAAGTGTGAGTGCTATGCTGTTCTCTTAAAAATATATTTGTAAAGCTAGGTCAGGATATTGGAAATTCTTTTTTAAGATATAAGGAAAGTATTTTGTGTTAGTTTTAGATACCTGAATAAATATACTGTAAATGATATTAGTAAAGCACTCAGTTAATTGTGTAAGAATAATTATAGTCTTGAAAATTGTCATATTTGATTTGTGTTGAATTCCTTCCTTTTTTTTTTTTTTTTGAGACTGAGTCTTGCTCCATTGTCCTGGATAGAGTACTATGCTGTCATTTTGGCTCACTGCAACCTCAAACTCTTAGGCTCAAGGGCTCCTCCTTCCTCAGCCTCCCAAGTAGCTGGGACTATAGATGCATGCTACAACACCCAGCTAATTTTTCTACTTTTGGGAGAAACAGGGTCTCGCTCTTGCTCAGGCTGTTCTTGAACTCCAGAGCTCAAGCAATCTACCCGCCTCAGCCTCCCAGAGTGCTAGGATTACAGGCAGGCATGAGCTGCACTTGGGCCCTCCTCTCTTGAAATGAAAAAAAAAATTCCCTTTTGCTAGGACAAGTTACTTATCACTGTTTATCTTTTTGAGAAATTTGTCCTACTTTGAAGTTTATCTTTCAGATGTATTTTAGAAATGTTTTGTCATGTACCCACTAGCACCCCAAAAAGAAAAATCCTATTTGGATTTTGATGAGGATTGCATTGAAGTTAAAAATAATTTAGAAGTCTAGTGTCCATAACACAATTTTAAAATTTCCTGTATTTTGGACATTACCCAAATGGGTATGATTGGGATTTGTAACATCAGATGTCTTTAAACTATTGAAACTTATTTTATATATGATGAAAGAGAGGAACAAAAGAGTAGTGACAAGTCACTTAGCAAGTCTGTGGCAGAAGTGGGATTTGAACTTACAGTTGTTGATTCTAGGCCTGTTCACAGTACCAGAGGTCACAGTGTTCTAATAGGTTTCAGCCATAGCTTTTTCTCTTTTGCCCATGTTTGAAATGTGTTCTGGGAATCTGTGTCCTGTTAAATCCGTCTGTGATGCATGTCCCATTTATTAGTATTGATTTCAA